ATGCCAAACTGAGACTCTGCACCCATTAAAAAATAACTTTCCATCATCCCCTTCCCACAGCCTCTGGTAACCGTTATTTAACCTTCTGTGTCTATAAATGTGCCTATTCTGGGTACCTCATTTAAGTCGAACCATATGATACTTGTTCTTTTGTGTCTGGCTTATTTCACTTAGCATAGCGTCTTCAGGGTTCATCCATGTTGTGGTATGTTATCAGTAGTTCCTTCCTTTTAAGGCTCAGTAATATTCCATTTTATCTATGGACCACATTTGGCTTATCTCTCCATCTGTCCATGGACATTTGGGTTGTTTCCACCTCTTGGCTGTTGTGGATAATGCTGTTACAAACAGGGGTGTATGAATACCTGTTTGAATCCCTGCTTTCAATTCTTTTGGCGCATACCCAGAAGTGGACTTGTTGGATCATAATCACAGGGGTTTTTTTGGTTTGGGGGAGTGGTTTGGCCATGCACGCCATACCACGTGGCTTGCAGGATCTTAGTTCCTTGACCAGGGATGGAACCCACTCCCTCAGCAGTGAGAGTGTGGAGTCTTAACCACTGGACTGCCAGGGAATTCCCCATAATCGCAGTTTTTTTTGTTTTTTTAAATTAAAAAAATTTTTTTTTGGCTGCATTGGGTCTTTGCTGCTGTGCGCGGGCTTTCTCTAGTTGCAGAGAGTGGGGGCTACGCTTCATTGTGGTGCGCGGGCTTCCCATTGCGGTGGTTTCTCTTGTTGCGGAGCATGGGCTCTAGGCGTGTGGGCTTCAGTAGTCGTGGCACGCAGGCTCAGTAGTTGTGGCTCGCGGGCTGTGGAGTGCAGGCTCAGTAGTTGTGGCGCACGGGCTTAGTTGCTCCACGGCATGTGGGATCTTCCCAGACCAGGGCTTGAGCTCGTGTTCCCTGTATTGGCAGGTGGATTCTTAACCACTGCACCACCAGGGAAGCCCACAGTTTTTTAAACATGCTCAAGTTAAGTCTTTGTTTCATCAAGTTAACCATTTTGCGGCATCATTCTTTTTTTCATCTCCAAGAGTTTGTGACGCCTGTTCCTCCTGTAAGGAAAGTAGTGTACGTGGCAACAACAGGTTTTTGTTTGTTGAGTTTTGATTGGTTTTGTTCTTTTTCTTTTTCTTTTTTCTTTTTTTTTTTTTTTTGGTCACACACGGGGCATTCAAGATCTTCCCCAACCAGGGATCGAACCTGAACCCCCACCTGTAGTGGAAGCGTGAAGTCTTAACCACTGGACCGCTGGGGAAGTCCTGCTTTTGTTTTTTTATACCAGCAGTGAAAACTCTTATGGAGCCAACTTTTGATGGAAACACCATCAGTTCAAATGCCAAGACAGTTCTTCCAAGACAGACCTTCTGATTCTAGATATGAAGAAAACATTAATCATATCTTGGCTGTTTCTATGTAAAAGCTGTTTGCCACAGAAAAAAAAAAGTCTTGATTACCAGCATCATTTACAAATCTTAGAAGTGGCATTTATCAGTGCCACTTCTAAAAACATGGCATTTATCAGTGAAATCTGTTGACTCATCAGCCTGGATAAAGAATCTGTTATTTTTCAGCTAATTACCAAGAAAAAAAAAAAAAGTTCTTCAGCATCACGTGACATCAATACGTTGTGTTGTCACTCTCTCTGAGACTAGAACACTTACACTCTTTTGTTGAGCATCTTGCGCTAACACGTCACTCATATAATTTTACATGCCAGCATTATTGGGTTCTTTTTCTGGACAATTGGTCTGTTACAAATAACTTGCTCTTTGAGCCTTTGTACTAAATGTAGCCTATAAAAGCCTTACCCTGTTTGTTTTGAGATACGATAGGTTAAAAATTAGCACATTTATTTGTCAAATGGCTGTAATTTGTAATTTAGTTCTCTTCAATTTTCCTGAAGCCATTGCTACACTTGTAAATTGTAATTCTTCATCGCTAACCCTACCAGATTTGTCCACAGTCCTAAGCTCCTCCTCTTTCACTTCACACCTGATGATAAAACAGCATCACATGGAATCGCTAGACACATTTGTAAAACACAAACACTAATAAGACATACAATAGAAGGGCATCATATATAACTAAACAGGAAACTTGCAACAAGATATGAAATCATGCTGAAATTCACCTCTAACCTGCATAATTCATGTTTCACAGTGTTCGCATCAACAGCAAAGTGGCAGGGAGGCCGCTACGTCGAGGCAAAAATGATTTCCTTAGAAGAAAAATTTCCTCTGATTTTCTATCACACCAGAGTGTTTGCGCCCCTAAGTCAGTCATCTGTGCCTAAGGGGAGGTGGAGGGAGGTAACCAGGAGGGCGAGGCTGAGGTCACCTTCTTTACCACCTCCTATCCGGGCAATACCGTGTTCACACATGATCGACAGACTTCCTGATCTCACGCTGAAAACTGAGCAAGGCCCCACCCAATGAGCACTGCAGATGGGGCTGAACAACGTTTCACAAATGGTTTCCGAGGCTGCTCGATTACTGTCCATCACTGAAAGCGCTGGCATCACACAGCACATGAGTTTCAAAAATAATGCTGAGGGTTTTTTTTCCTCATCACAAGACAGAATCCGTAAACTAGAAAGATCTCAAGGCTAATTCCGTGGTTTTGCAGAACGCAGAAATCTCTGCCCTAGAATATCGATCCTGTCTGCTTGTTGAACCACGCTCTAGCCTATAGGAACGGTGGGAAACAGAGGTTCCTGGCCCAGTGCTTTAAATCCAAGACCCGGAAGTTCTCACATTACTTCTGCTCTCACCCTTTGGCCAAGCCTAGGTGCAAGGCACCCTGGGAAATGTCATCTCTAGCTGGGAGGCCACGTGCCAGGAAGAGGAGGAGAATGGATTTGTGGAACAATTAGTAGTCCTATCACAAACTTTTGCCTTGTCTGCTACTGGCGACAGACACTGAGCCCTTTGAGGGCTTTCATCACTGGGAACCTGATACCCAATGCTGCTATGGACTTGGCTGTGACCAAGCACTCAGGAAGCAGCTGTAGTCAAACGAGGGACCTGAAAGCTTCCAGAAGATTGAGCAGCTCATTTATACTCTTTGAGCCACAGTACCTTCCTCTGTAAACTGGGGGTAAATAATATCCATCCTGTGAGGTTATTGTGAGGATTATATTAAAAGTGCATACAAACCCATAGAATATACACCACTAAGAGTGACTCCTAATGTAAACTATGGAATCTGGAGGATGCTGCTGTGTCATTGTAGGTTCATCAATTGTAGTAAACGTACCACTTTGGTTGGAATGTTAATAATGTGGGAGACTATGCATGTGGTCGGGGCAAAGGCATATGGGAAATCGCTGTACCTTCCCCTCAATTTTCCTGTGAACCTTACATTGCTTTAAATGAAGTCTTGTGGGCTTCCCTGGTGGCGCAGTAGTTAGGAATCTGCCTGCCAATGCAGGAGACACGGGTTCGAGCCCTGGTCCGGGAAGATTCCACATGCCGTGGAGCAACTAAGCCCGTGCGCCACAACTACTGAGCCTGCTCTCTAGAGCCCACGTGCCACAACTACTGAACCCCGTGTGCCTAGAGCCCGTGCTCCTCAACAAGAGAAGCCACCGCAATGAGAAGCCCGCGCACCACAACGAAGAGTAGCCCCTGCTTGCCGCAACTAGAGAAAAGCCCGCGCACAGCAACAAAGACTCAACACAGCCATAAATAAATAAATAAATAGATATAAAAAGAAAAAAAAGTTCTTAATGTAGGTCCTCAGTAAATAATGGCTGACGGTTTTATTTTAGTAATAAGCCAAGAGAGGTATTTCCTCTTCATCCCTGTCAATGATGAAGGAGAGAATAACGATACTAATTAACATTTATTGTGCTGCAAGTATAAGTTTTACATATCTTAACTTTTTTGATCCTTTGAGGTAGGTGTTATTATCCCCATTTACAGAGGAAGAAACTGAGGCATAGGAAGATTAAGCAGCTAGCCCACGGCCACACACCTACTTACAGTGGAGTTGGGCAGTTTGAACCTTAGAGCCAGTTGGTATCTAGGTACAACTGGGGACTAGACCATTTGGCTTCTTGAAGTTTTTTCCAGTAACAGAGCTAAACTTGCTAAAGCAACTGCTGGGGCCTATGGTGTCACCCCAGAATTCTCTGTCCAGCTTTCCCATTGACCTGCTGGGTCACCTTGGGCCAGTCCCTTCTCCTTTCTTGACCTCAGTTTCATCCTTTTACATTGAGGAGGTTAGACACACCGATCCTTGATTCTGGACTGTAGCCCAGGAGGAGGCATTTGGGAATTAGGTCTACTAAGGGGCCTGTTTGTGACATCATAGAGGGGAGAATTCCATGAGAAGTCAGGCTTTCCTAGAAGCACCAGTGCCACGGCTTAGGCGAGAAAGGCAATCCAGGAAGGGCTCTTAGGCCCACATCTTGAGCTTTCCTCAATCCGGGGTTCACAGCATAGTCATGGATCAACCCTCGATGGCTGAAAAGGCTCAAAGTGAGGCAGACACTGATGACTCGGATGTGTTCTCTCACCCCAGTTCACCAACCACACACCACAGGCCAGGCCATGGTGGAGTCCACCGCCATCACCGAAGGGTGTCCCGTCCCCATGGTGAGTCCCACCATCATGGCATATCCCCTCATCGTGATGGATCTCAAGACTTCCATGACAATGCCTTCTCCCGCCATTCCCACCGCTTCCACCGCTCCTCATCCCTCTTCCCGGATACTTCCTGTGGCGCTTTCATCTCCCACCATTCCTATGGTGAGGACCACTGTGATGACGAGCACCACCACAGTAGCAGGAGACATCACAGGAGGCCCCACCAACAGAGGGAGTCCTACCACCACGGGAGACTCCAGCAGCACAGGGAGTCCCAGCACCATGGTGGGTTTCACCACCACAGTGAGGTTTCCCACCATAGTGGGCTTTATCACCAAGGTGTGCCTTACAACCATAGAGACTTCTCCCACTCTGGTAGCCCTGCCCAACACAGTGAGGCCCATCACCATGGCGGGCACCACCATCATGAAGCCCATCACCACGGAAGGCCTGCCTCCATGGGGTCCTACCACCATGACGAGCACCAGCACAGAGAGCACCAGCACGGTGCACATCCTCGTGACTACCTCCACCGAGAGCACCGCTATGGGGAGTACCGTCGTGGTAGCTCCCAACTCTTTGGCCCACACACGTCCCACAGTGCGGCCTCAGCCTCCCTCGGCTCTGCCTGTTCTCGTCAAGTAGCCCCCCAACCTAGCAAGCCAGATAGACAGAGCTCAGCCTTCAGCTTGGCTCGTTCCCTGAACACAGCGTACTCACACCCTGCCCAGACCTCCAGCAAAGTCCATCCTCGGGGCTCCTCCTCTAAAACCTCGGAAAGCTGGCCCGGAGAAGACGAGCAGATTCAGAAGCACAAAAGTGAGTCTTGGCTTGCCCCCCACCCCCCAACTCCAGCTGCCTGGCCCAGATTCCAGACCTGAGTCGGGCCCTGAACGTCCTTCCGCAGATCACGAGGCTTGCTCTCACCTGCAGGTGTATCCCATTGGCTATTCACTCGCCTGACTGTTCACCATCCAATCTTTTATTCCTGGGATTTGGCACTTCTCCAGACTGTCGGTTGTTGGTTCATGCAGTCACTGCTTTATTCATTCGCATGTTCACTTCTCGAACATTTCCTCTTCTCTAGTATGAAAGCTGGGGGTGATCACTTATACAGCCAATCCCAGACTACCCAGTGAGAGGGGTCTAGCATCCGTATCAGAACATTTACCACCGTGGATTCTGTTTGTCCATGTTTCCCCCACTGAACTGTGAGCTTCTTGAGGCCAGAGGCTGGAACCAGTGCCTGAATGAGGGCCTGGTTAGAGGGCAGGGAGGGACTTTGGCTGTTAACATATGATCCCCCAAACTTGGCCCCTGGTAGTTCCATAAACACGGCATCAGCTTCACAAACAAGCAGTGAGGGATGAGTGTCTAATTGTTTGTGGGCAGAAAAGTCAGCCAACAGGGGTGACGTTTCAGCAGAATCTTGGAGGGAGAGGGAGAGTTTACCAAGAGGATGGGGTGGCGAGGAGGATGCGGTCTTCCGTGTGTAAGTTGCCATGTGACTTAAAGAAAAGCATGGAGGTGTAGGAGCATGAGCTCAAGCAGACCTCAAATCCCAAGCAAGCTGGCACCTGTCGGGGAAGGGGTCAAGCCTGCGGCTCCTATACCAGCGCAGGACTAGCACGGAGGCACCTGAGTGAGTTCATGGCAGGCAGACCTGGGAGGGAGACCGGATCGCCGTGTCCCCTTCCCCCATGGACTTGGCTTTCTGGCCCTTTCACAGCTGGCCGAGCCCCACGAACCCACAAGAAGCTGCACACTGTGAACCTCTTCTATTTGTTGTGGGAGAAATTAAGCCACCTCATGTGGGGCCTTTCGAGAATGCTCAGGAAACTGACTGACTCCTTGGCCTTTGAAGCCTTCGTCGTCTTCATCGTCTGCCTCAACACCATCATGCTCGTGGCCCAGACCTTCGCTGAAGTCGAGGTCCGGGGTGGTAAGAGCCAGGGAGCCCTGTTCACATGGAGAAGGCCACTGATGTTGTCCCAAGCCTCCCGTGGGCCGGATCAAGTGCCGGGGGATTTATATCGCTTATCCCATTTGATCCTCACCCTGGGAAGTAAGCGGCATTGCCCAGCAGTAGAGTGAGGCTCAGAGAGTTTTGCTGAAGTCAACCAGCCCGCCGGAGGCAGAAAAGCCCAATAAATTTGAGGTTTGCTGTTTTGGACTATAGCCACCAGGTGGCGCATCAGCTCTAAGTACGCTGCTTTGCGGGAAGGATGCCCAGAACCCAGGTCAGCTGCAAGGGCCAGGAGACTGTGCAAGCAGGAGGCCCTGGAGGGATGAGGGTGGGAAACCTGGGAAGATGGTCCCTAAAACCCTGGGGAGCAAAGTAAAGGTAAGGACCTGCCACAGGGCCCATAAACTAAGGAGAGAAGAAGAGTGATGTTTCTTGCAAGCTGTTTCAGGCTCCATTCTAAGCCCTTTACTATGTGAAAAGCATTTTTTTTTTTTTTTTTTTGCGGTACGCGGGCCTCTCACTGTTGTGGCCTCTCCCGCCCGCTGCGGAGCACAGGCTCCAGACGCGCAGGCTCAGCGGCCATGGCTCACGGGCCCAGCCGTTCCGCGGCACGTGGGATCTTCCCGGACCGGGGCAGGAACCCGTGTCCCCTGCATCGGCAGGCGGACTCTCAACCACTGCGCCACCAGGGAAGCCCGTGAAAAGCATTTAATGCTTGTGAAAATTCTATCAGGCAGACTGTTATTATCACCATTTTATAGGCAAGAAGAGTGAGTCACAGAGCAGTTAAAACACACAGCCATTGGGCAGAGTCAGCTTCTCCCTAAATGGCTGAGTGTGAGGTTCCAGTGGGGAGGAGGAAGGAGAGGCTGGGTTGCTGGGGAGACCCCTGAGTGAGACCCTCCTCCCCCGTGTCCCCCACAGAGTGGTACTTCATGGCCTTGGACTCCATCTTCCTCTGCATCTACGTGGTGGAAGCTGTGCTCAAAATCATTGCTCTGGGCCTCAAGTATTTTTTGGACCCCTGGAACAACCTGGGTGGGTAGGGATGGGGCGTGTGTGTGTGTGTGTGTGTGTGCGTGTAGTGGGAGCCCCTGAACTGCCCAGGGGCGACAGGAACAGGGGGTGTTGGCACTGGGAGGTCCGTGAGCCTGGGCAGGAGCCCATTACACCCAGGTGCCCCTGTTTCTGTAGATTTCTTCATCATGATCATGGCTGTGCTGGAGTTCATGCTCATGCAGATCAACTCTTCCTCCATGCGCGTGGTCTACAACCAAAGCATCTTCCGCATCTTCAAGGTCTTCAAGAGCCTGCGAGCCTTGCGAGCTATCCGGGTCCTGCGGAGGCTCAGGTCAGCGGACCCACAGCTGCCCACAAGGAGGCTGCAGACTCCAGCCTGCTTTTCCTGCCATCCACTAGGATCAATCTCTTTATTTTCCAGAGAGGGTCTGGGACACCCCCCGCCCCAAGTCACTAGCAAATCAGGGACCTCCCACCCCTGTAATCAGCAGTCTGAAAGCTGTAATCAGCTCCGACTGCTAGACACTGATCCCCACCCCACTGACTCAGCCTCTCTCTCAACCTCTGTCCACAGCTTCCTGACCAGCCTCCAGGAAGTGACCGGGACCCTGGCCCAGTCCTTGCCGTCCATCACCGCCATCCTCATCCTCATGTTCACCTGTCTCTGTATCCTGTGCCACGGGGGCTGGGGTGGGAGAGTGAGATGTTGCAATGGACGGAGTTGGGGGGAGAGACCAGGAACTGGGGGTGGCAGGGAGAGAGGAAGAAGGGGAGAGAGGACCCTGTGAGCCTGGTTTGGTCCTCAACAGCCAGTCCTGTTCTCTGTGGTGTTCCGGGCACTGTTCCGCTACTCTGACCCCAAGCGCTTCCAGAACATCTTCACCACCATCTTCACCCTCTTCACCTTGCTCACCCTGGACGACTGGTCCCTCATCTACCTGGACAGCCGAACCCAGGGTAGGGCAGGCCTCAGGCTGGGTGGAGGGCAGGGGCTGGCTGAGTGGGCAGACCCTGAGGGCTCAGTTACCCCATCTGCAAAGTGGGGCCTCTGAGGCTTGCTGGCAGGGGTGTGGTGAGGACCGGCAAGGAACTCACAGCTCGAACGACCCCCTCTCTCCCAGGCGCCTGGTACATCATCCCCATTCTCATGATATATATCATCATCCAGTACTTCATCTTCCTCAAGTGAGGCCCCCACACCTGTGCTCCCCAGCTTTACTTCCCCCAGCCTAACCCCGGGGCATCCCCTCCCCTCCCCTCTCACCATGGCTCTGCCACGATGAACCCAGAGGAGGGTTCAGGGCCTCCCCTCCAGCCTCCTCCTGTCTCCCGCCCCAGCCTGGTGATTGCCGTCCTGGTGGATAACTTCCAGATGGCCCTGCTCAAAGGCCTGGAGAAAGTGAAGCAGGAGGTAGTGAGGGAGTGGGGCAGGGGGACGAATCAGGAAGACACGGGGAGGGGGACACATAAGCTGGGGGGAAGGAAGGAAGGTGCTCCAGGGATGGGCAGACATGGGACGCTGGCAGAACTGAGGCCTCTTCTTCGCAGAAGGCCTCCCAGATCCATGAGAAGCTACTGGATGACTCACTGACAGAGCTCATGGAAGCAGGTACCAGCAGCCTGCTTCTTCCCAGGCAGGCACAGAGCTCCAGGCTCAGCCTTATTTATTTATCTACCTATCTACCTATTTATTTATTTATTTTTGGCCATGCTGCGCGGCTAGAGGGATCTTAGTTCCCCAACCAGGGGTCAAACTCAGGTCCCGGCAGTGAAAGCGCCAAGTCCTAACCACTGGACCTACTGCCAGGGAATTCCCGACGCCCAGGTTTAGAGTCTTAGAACCTGAGACTCAGGAGAACTTTCAGAGCTTAGAACTTCGGTCCAAAAAGCTCCACGACTAACCGTCAACAACCAATTAAACTGATAGTCAATTCTTGAAAGACCCATTTGCAAAACAGCTAATTAGCCAAATTATGATTCACCAAACGTTCGTTTCTGTTAATAACGTACAAAGTTTGTAGCAGTTGGTCTTATATGAAGTGGCTTCAACTGTTTTTGAGGCTTTTGTCAAGGTGTTATACCCACTTGTCCAGAGTCACTCAAAGTGTCTATAAAAATTGAGTCTAAAAAAAAAAAAAAAAAAAATTGAGTCTATAAAAATGAAGTTTTCTGTACATGTTCATCTTTACACACCTGACTTTCTGGGTAAACAGATTTTGAGCCAATTGCTTTGCCTCCTGCTTAAAGACCTTCAGAACTTTAGAATCTGAGCTCTAGAATCCCACTCTTAGGATCATCAACACCAGAGGACTAAGGGCCCTCAGGGGTCACCTGGACCCCCACCTGCCCTCTCCATCATGAACACTCAGTGCAGAAAAGCTTAAGCAAAAAGAGGAATTAACTGTCTTAAATTATTAGCAACTTGAGAGTTCATGGGCTTTCAGGAACGGCTGGATCCAGGACCCAATGATGGTTGAGATTTGGTCTCCTTCCAGTTCTCTGCTCTGTGGCTCTCTGTGTGGTTTTGTGCTTAGGGTGCTCTTCCTTTGCGGTGGGAAAGTGACCACCTGCAACTCTAGTCCCAAATCCTCACAGTTTAAGTATCCCAAGCTCTCCCAGCAGGGGTCCCCTTCTCCCACCGGTTCGAACAACATCCCAGAAATGAATCTCCTTGGCTCAGGTTGGTCACCTGCCTATTTCTGAACCAATCGCTATGGCTGAAAGGATAGGCTATTCTGCTTGGCCAGGCTTGAGTCATATGTCCTTAGAGCTGGGGGGTGGGGTCAACCCCAGCTAGGCAACGTGCACCGAAAGGGGTGGGAGTGGTTCCCCAGGAAAATTGGGAAACTTTTACCAGAAGAAGAGGGAACGCATGCTGGATGAGCAAACAAACAAAACACACTCCATGCCCGGAGAAACAATCTCTTTGGGGTCATCCTGGACAAAAACCCCTTTAGCTCCTGTTTGACTATCTCCATGACACACGGGGTTTCCTCCACCTTCTCTCAATCCAGGCAGCATCTTGACCTCCCCCTTCTTTCCCTACATGCAGAGCCTGAAGAGGTGATAAGTGGACACACTATACAGAAGCAGCTCATTGAGAAAAAATTTGGAGGCATGACTGAGAAGTAAGGAGATGCAAAGGGAGGGGAGGCCTCAGGTCTAAGGGGAGAGGTCCGGGGGCCAGACCGGTGGACTGCCGTGGGAAAGGGGCATTGCCCACCTCTCTGGAAGGGCGGTAGAGCCCTAAGGCTTATGTAGAGCCTGTGGGTGGGATGTGGAGGCCTTGAGTGGCTTCTGCTCACTCAGAGTCACCTGGTACCACCAAGAGAATCCCACCAGCAGCACCTGAAGGGCCACGAGAGCCCCTCTGAGGCTGAGGGCCCAGGGCAGGGGCAGCGGACAGAGGCTGCAGGAGCAGGGGTTCTGCTCATCTTTTTGCTCCAGAAGCATCCCTGATCCTTGCTCTGGGCCAGGTTCTGCGAGGACTCCAGAGGCCCAAAGCGGACACAGACTAGCACCTGCCCGTGAGGGCCCCCTCTAAAGACCTTGGCGGGGCCACGTAGGGTGGGTGGACTCCAGCTGGCTTCAGGGATGGGGAGGGTGGGTCGGGAAACAGCTTGGTAAAGGCCTGGGAGGCAGATGTCAACGCGAGTGGCCGGCTGGGCCAGGACAGCTGGGGACTAGTGGCTGTGCTCATGGCCAGGGGTCCTTGGCACAGACTCCTGCGCCCTGGCTCTCAGGCCTGGCTCCCCAGAGAACCAGCCTGACTGCTGGCACCTTCCAGGCTCTTCTTGGCCACCGACAGAGCTTGAGCGCCAAGCCCTCCATGATCACGGCCCCACCCACACCTCCAGCACATCCTGGCTTTCCGTACAGCACAGCACATACTTCTCCACCTTCAGGCCTTTGCCCACACTGTTCTCTCTGCCTGGAATGTTCTCTGGCTGCCAACACCAGGCTCAGGTGATCAAGAGCCGGAAAAGCTGAGATCCAATCCTGCTCGTTTCATCTCCCGGCCGCCCTCCCGGCCGCCCTCCCGGCTGCCCTCCACGTTCCAGATCCTGGTACCTTTGCCTGGGCTCCTCTGTGATGCTTTCCCTGGGGGTTTCTCGGCCTCCAAACTCTTCTCCACTGGCCCACCTCCACCTCCACTGAGAGTGGTCTTGTTTTTGTTGTTTAGTTTGTTTGTTTGAATCTTTTTTTTCTTCCTTCCTTTTTCTTTTTAATGATTTAGAGACTGATCTTTGTTAAAAGTAGTTTTGGCTTTCCCTGCCTTCCCCGAGTTTACAGCCCTACAAGGCCTCCTGTCTCCCTTAGCTTAAGGTCCGGGCGCCCTGCTTTGACCTCCCCTGGATGTCTCCACCTTGAATTCATCCGTCCCGAGGCGCACTCCGGCCCCCAGTACACTCCCTGCTGCTCACAGACCTTGGCGCACCAGAAACCGGGTCTGAGCTCAGCAAACCCTCAAGTGTCTTTCAAGCTCAGCTCAGTGACGCTTCCTCCAGAAGCCTTTCCTGATCCCCAGTACTTGGGTGAGGTTTTCCTCCTCTGGGCCCCTCGATGCCCTCTGTTTATACTTATCACAAGTGTAAACACCCTTGGTTTGCTTTCCTGGCTCTGCCACAGACTGAGCTTCTTAAGGGCAGCGGCTGTTTCTTATTTGTTTCTATGTCCTTGGAGCACCGTGCAGTGTTCATGGATTTCAGGGTTATATGATGGCTGGATTGATAAGACAGGCTGGCAGTGAAGGAGTTAATGAATGGGTAGTGGGTGGGGCTGGGGGTTTAGGTGGATGGCTGACTGTGAAGGGGTGGGGGGCGGGGCCGGGGAAAAGCAGGTGGATGGAGGGATAGGTGAGTGAGGGAAAGGGCGGGGCGGCCCCATGGGTGAGGAATGGCTAGATAGACGGGCGGGGATGCGGGTAGGTGGTTGAGCGGGTGCAGGAGTCAGCATGGGGTAGCTTGGACACATGGAGGCATGGGCGGTTTGGAGGTGAACAGTTTAATCGTCAGAACCCTCTGTGGTACCGGCAGCTGGTGGCAGCAGGGGCGCGGATATGTGGAAAAGGAAATATACCGTGGAGGGCCACACACAGAGAAGTGGCGCCCGTGGCTGGAAATGGAGGCATGGGGTGCTGTGAGTGGGGGGAGGAGGGGGCTCTGGGGGCTGAGATGGCCCAGCCTTGCCTCCCCCCTGCCCCCTCCCACTTCCCCCCTCGCCCCCCCCCCGTGCCCTCAGGCAGCGGGAGCTCCTGTTCCACTTCCTGCAGCTGGTGTCCGGGGTGGAGCATTACCAGCAGAAATTCCGCTCCCAGGCAGCTGTCATCGATGAGATTGTGGACACCACGTTTGAGGTGAACCAGGCAGGACCTGGGAGGAGCCAGATGGAGGGGGAGGGCACTGGAAGGCCGGGCCTCGGGGGGCTTTGCCTGGAAGCCGCCCTGAGTAACAGTGGTGTGGGCCTCTGGGAGGCAGAGGGCTGGCGCCATCACCTGTCACCCACCCCGCAGGCTGGAGAGGAGGACTTCAGGAAGTGATCCCCAGAGTGGCAGCCCGAGTCCAGGCTTCAGCCTCTGGCAGGCTCTCCCCCGGGTCGGGCCAAGTCCCCATCTCTGCTGGAAAGATCACTGGGCCTGCAGGGCTGGGCCCCAACAGAGCTTTAAAACCCCAGGTGGCTCCGTGTCCTCCCTGGCTGGGCCCAAGCCGCAAGGGAACCTGTGGGCCTGCACGCACGTGCATCCTCGAGCATGTGTGTGCGAGTGTTTCAGGTGAAAGGCTCTGTCCTTGGATCCCTCCCTGCCCCACTGGGGCCTGGCATCCTGGCCTGGCAGGGCCTTAACAGCAGCCAGCGGGGTGACGTGGCATGTGGGCCAGGCTCAGTGCTGGAGGGAGAGGGAGCGGTCACCCTGCTTTGGGGAGGGAGGCCCGTCTGGCCCAGGAGACAGGAGAACAAGAACAGGACGGTTGTCAGGGCCCGAGGGACCAGGATGCTCCAGAAACGAGGTCTCAGAGCCCAGGGCTACCGGCACCGTCAGCATCCAGCAGAAGGGCGCCAGCTCGATGCGGGCAGCCTGAGCTCGGAAGGCAGAGGCCATCGCCATGCCCTGCCCTGCCTGGGGTCAGGCTAAAGAGCCTCAGTGAGGGGAGGGAGGGTGGAGGCTGCTCAAGTCCTTGTGGCCTCGGGGTGGGGGGCCGGGTGTGTGTGGAGTGGACAAGCCTCTGTTAGAGGGAAGCAAGGGATGAGTTCCCCTGCTTTTAGCCTGAGCCCGGGCAGGATGCCCAAGACGGCGGCGGGGCACTGAGCACTCAGTCAAGCCCAGCCAGAGGGAGGGAGGCCTCCCGCCGGGTGGGGAGTGAAGCTGGCAGAGTGAAGCTGGAGGGCACCAGGACGGAACCCAGGAGTGGGAGCTGAGAGGTGACAGACAGTTTTGCCAGCCACCCCCCTACCTCCAGTGCGGACCAGACAGTGGTGACGTCTACGGGCCCCCGGACAGAAGCAGCGCGTCTCCTCCCTGGCCCGGCCGAGGGTGCGGGCTGGCCCAGGGCCCGGGCATTGACTGTGCGGAGGAAATGCCATCTGGGATTTGGGCACAGATTCCGGGGGTGGAGAGGCCACCCGGCCTCACCTCACCCCACCACCTCACACACTGATTCAACAAGCATTTCCTGCCACTTCTCACCCCGTGGCAGCCACTCAGGAGGCTCCTGCTGGGTGGCACATGGGAGCTCTTCCAGCGGCTGCCCCACCGCAGGCCCCCGGGCTGTCTGCGAGGCCATATCCGACAGGCTTGAGCCGCTGGGAGGCTGGAAGTTTTCCCTCCATCCCTCATTCCTGTCACACTCAGCCCCTCAAGCTTCCAGGTGGGAATCAGTTCATTTGCCATCTCCCCATCGCCACCCCATATGGCCTCCCAGGGCTCTAGAGGGCAGGGCCTGGGAGCTGGGGCTGTTCCTCAGTAAGTGCCAGCATTGGCAGGTAGCCAGGCAGGCACGAGGCCTGGCCGGCCGGGCCCTAGGGTGCTCTCCACAGCCACCCTGTCCAGCCGCCTGGGGTACCCACACCTCGTGCTCCCACAGGATCTGCTTCCTGCCCATCCTGTCTCAGGCATGGGTGTGTGTCTGTGCATCTGAGGAACAGCTCCGGCTGGGGCAGGTGTGTACCTGGGGCTGTGTGTTTTGCGGTGTATTCTCCAGGTTATCCTCGGGATGGGGGTGTTGCTTCTGTGTGTGTGTGTGTGTTTCCGGTTTGCTAGGTTATGTGTGTCTTTTTCTGGATATATGTGTGGTGTCTGGGAGGAATCTGAGGGTGCATGGTGGGTTTATGTGTCTGTCTGGTGTCTTGCGAAGTTCTGGATGTGTGTGTGTGCATGTGTAGTGAGCATTAATTCCAGCCACAAATTCAGGTGCGCAAAAAATGTTCCATCTTTTCTTTAAATGACATTGAATTGCATCTGTCCCCTTATCCCTCCTACGGACAGTGGATTTGACCTCGGTCCCCTTCGCGCTCCCTGCCAGCCCCTTGCAGGCGTCTTGCTCAGGACAAAGCACTGGGGAGTCCTTCCGGCATGTGGTCCACAGGGTCCAGCCTTCGTGGTCTCTTGCCCTGCAGGGGCTCTGCCATGTCTGGGCCACATGCTGGTATAAGAATCTCACAGGCTGAGAGCTCAGTGCACTGGGGCCAGGCTGGCTAAAACTCTCACGCGCCACTCTGAGTCGTCCTGGCAACTGAGAGGAAGCAGAACTCAGGTGCGGCTCAGAGCCTTCACTGGCTCCCGTCCCTTTCCAGTCTTGGGGCATCATCCCTCTCCTGTGACTTTGTCTCCGAACCCATAACTCTGCCAATATTGGGAGTCTCTAGAGGTTCGTTCCTCTACGTCTGTGATGCTGGGGTGTTCAGGGGACCCCAAATTTGGGAGCTGAACTTTGCACCCTTAGCACCGTCTGGGCTGAGACAGCAGAAGCTCAGCTGTGGGTGGTGTGGGCACCCTGTCAGGGGGGTGTTGGGAGCTGGAGGGGGGTGTTGGGAGCTGAAGGGGGGTGTTGGGAGCTGCCGAGAGTGGGACTGGGGAACAGGAGAGGGAGGAAGAGTGAGGCACTCAGAAGAGACCAATGCAAGAAGCAGTGCTAGCAATTTATTGCTACATATATGGTCCAGAAACCTGACATGCCCTCCACCGACGCGCTCACTCCTGCCCAGACCCGCCCGCTCCCTCCCTCCCCCAAGCCCACAGGGGTCTACTACAGGGTCACACAGTCGTGCTTTAGAAGTTGGAAGGAGTTCTGCCAGGGAACCGTAAGGATCTCAAAGTCACAGAGCAGCTTCTGCAAATAGATCATGAGGAAAGAAGGAGGGGTGAGCCCAGGCCCCAGGCCGCCTGCTGCCCACAGTCAGCCCTGTGCCTGCGGTGCTCCAGGATGCAAGGAGGAACATCAAGTTAGATGCCAGGACCAGAGCCCAGATCTTTCCAGCCCAGCCCCTCACTCCAGGGGGAGCCCCAGTCTGCTCCTCTCTGCACCTCACACTGCTCTCAAGGCTGAGTCATCCAGGAGGCAGGGACAGGGCTAGCCAGACCGATTCGAGCTGTACAACCCGAGGGCCCGGCCGCTGGCCACTGGGTGAGCTGATGCCTGGCTGGGGGCAGGGCTGTTACCTCCTGCTGCACCCCTGCGGCCAGGGGGCAGGTGGTGAGGTCTATGTGGTCTCCAGCCATGGCATTCTTCCGACAAGCCGTGCTTCCCATCTCCACGGTCAGGTAGTACTTGATGCCCGCCACCAACTGAGGCAGAGGTGGGGGCAGGTCAGGGGTGCCGGGGGACAACCTTTGACCTGGACCTCTCACCTCCCTCCATTTGCTCCCATCTCCCATTACCTTTCCTAGGACATATCCGGCACACTGCCTTTGGGATTCAGGTCTGGGAGGAGGGGAGAGGAAGGATGGGGAGGGGGCGGCAGGCAGTTCTGGTGGGGAGCCCTGGGGAGAGGGGCAGAGACTGGGCCACGCAGGAGGCTGAGACCCAAGTCCACACAACTGCCCCATCTCCCTCTCCCCCCCTCCCCAACTCGCCCATCCCGGCAGGGACTAGTGTGAGGCTAGTGAGGTAGCCATGCAAATTCAGGGTTGGATCTTATTCGAAATTTAGATATTCTGTTCCGCAAGAAGTTTTGGCATTAATTGGATTTTGAAAAATATGTTGTATTAAAATGCCATGCTGATTACTCTTGTGTCGCCCCCTCCATCTGCTGCCCGGCTGGCGTCGCGCTCGCCTCCCACGGCCCGGCCCCGCCCCGCCCCGCCGGCCGGGCGCACCTGGCTCTGCGCCCGGAGGATGGTGGTGTCGCGGAAGTAGTAGACGCTGTTGCTGCCCATGTTGTAGCTGGCCATGGCCGCCTGCGTCGCCTTCCGCACCTGCGGGTCGTTGGGCGACAGGTCCTGCCGCTCTCCGACCTCGCGATCCCCCGGCCGGGCCCGGGCGTCGCGGGGCAGCGCCAAGAGGCAGAGCGCGAGCAGGGCCAGGCCCAGCGGCAGCAGAAGGCTCGGACGCGCCATGGTTGCCGGCGTCGGTGTCCAGCCGCGGGCCCGCGCCGCTTTTACGGGCTGCGCGGCCCCGCCCGGCCCCGCCCGCCGCGTGCCTCCACCGGCGGGGAGGGATCGCCGGGCCTGGGCAAGGCCGCCTTCCGGGCGCCGAGGGGGACAGCGGACAGCCCCGAGCACACCTGTGTATCACGACGCTGCGTGCCCTCCAGGCACACCTAGTCCGGTGAGGGAAAGGGCAAGGACAGCCCCCAGCAACAAGTGCCACCAGTGGGACAGTTCACAGAGGCCCATCACGTGTGAAATACCAACAACAGCTACCAGCAAGCTCTTAACTGTCTCCACTGTGTAGCCTTGGAGAAGTTACTTAACTCTCACGGCCTCAATTTCCGCCTCTGTGAAACGGGTTGCTGTGAGGATTCAATAAGTAAAGGGCTTAGGGGAGGCCAGGAGCTGTATAAACAGCAGGTAAGTAGGAGATGTTACTGCGCCGAGCGGGGCACTGTTTAACCCTCACAACCAGCATGACGTGGGGATCAGTAATGTTTCCACTTTACAGAGGAGTGAACAGGAGAAAGAGGGAACAACTGATTTTGCCCAAGGACACCGACTGGTAAAGAGTAAACGGTGACACTGGCTTTTGAGCCCCAGCAGTCTAACCCAAATCTGTGCTCTCAAGCCAGACTGAACCCAAAGAATGAGAACTGGCCAGAAGGAGGTGTGTGGGTGGTCCCAGCTCTGCCGTTTACTGCCGGGGGGACTTCCAGCAAGTCCCTGGACCTCTGGGAGCCTCAGTGTCCTCATCTGAAGAAATGTGACAACTCTTGTCTTCTAAGGTTGTGCTGACAATAATGGCCTGAGACTGGGTCACCCATAGGTAAACTGGGCCTGTGCTGGAGGTACCAGCAATATAGGGCTATGATGTTTTTTGGAATAATCTGACAATCTATAAAAAACAGCATTGAAGTAGTCAACACGGGAAAAGTGTGGCTTTTGTTGGGATGTTTTAGAATTAGTATTTTAGAGTTCAGGGTCGTTTGTACTTTTAATCACTTGTTGCCAGGGGGAGGTGGGGCTTTTTGCTCCTGGGACACAAAGATCTTATTAGTGCTTAGGGCCTCCAAGGATCTTACCTGGGGTTTGGGACAGGCTGTGGTTTTCAGTACCCAACAAAGTGTTGGTGCTTAATAAGTGGTAGCTATGATTGTGATGAATATTATGAGAAAGCATCCAGCATGCCCCCCGGCACCCCCACCAATTCTCGGCCTCTCAGAATCCCAGGGCCAGGAAAGGCACTGATTTCTCCCAGGGAGACCAGGACCAGTGTGGTCACTGCCCAGTCCAGCTACTACCCCACCCCCTCAGCCCAGCTGTGAAAAACAATCTTTGGATGCCAAGGGACAGTCTCAAGTTTGTTGTGGGCTCAGGTGTCTGCCTTAAAGGGACAGACCCATTTGTGTGAGAGCTGGCAAGAGCTTGGCTTGATGAGGAGGCCAAGGTCAGGCAGGACCCCAACCCGAGAGAAGCTGGGAGTGGGGGAGTAAGAGGCCCAAGCCCACAGCCCAGGGGAGAGGTGGAGAGGTAGCCCCAGGGGGCTAGGAGTCTCCTTGGGTTCTCCCGGATCTGCTCTCCTGTTACTTGGAACTCAGCTGTGGCCACACTTAAACTCCAACAGCTCCCTGGGAAATAAGCCAAGGCCCAGTCTCTGACTCACCAAGGGCCAGTGGGTCCCCAGCTCACTTGCCCCTACTCTACCTGTTATTCCTTTGTGCTGACACCAGCAAATCTTTTGCATGCCAACCTAACAATTTTCAAAGACTTTTCACCCACTGGTCTGTTCTCGTAAGCACCCTGAGTAAGCATCATCCTCATTTTGCAGATGAAGAAAGTTAATCAGAGAGGTCAGGACACTTGTCTAAGGTCACTCACTCAACTAGATGTGGTGTCCTGGTGAGAAAAGAGGGATGGGGAAGGGAAATTAACAATTATCAGGCTCCTGATATGAGCCGGGCCTTGCACCAGGGACTCAACATACGTTCTCTCATCCTCATAAGAGCTCTGCAGAAGCAGTGATTATTACTTTTTACAAGGAGGAAATGCAGGGTCAAAGGGGAAGGGTCAGGGGTGGGCGCTGGGGGGCAACCATGTGCCAGCATCCTAGTGTGTGAGTTCTGGACCACTCCACAGGGATATGAGGTCTGCTGTGCAGAGGGAGGCTCCCTGGGGGTGCGGGTGCCCCGGGAAGGGTTTTCCCAGGGCTGGGTCTCATCTGGAAAAGAGTCTTAGCCTGGACTCCATTCATGCTTAGTCTGGACCACTCTGGCTTCCAGAAGGAGGCCTGGGCCAGGTTTGAGCTCGGATGGGCCATCCCCACTGGCCACAGGACACGGCTTTCAGTTTTGCTGTGACCCAGACATCCCAACCCGGGTTGCCCACGGCACCCCTCTCTTGTCCCTGGCTGATGGGTCTTGCTGACCAGGGTGGGCCCTCGATATCCCCTTCACCCCAGGATCATGTTACCCTGGGCCTTCACGCTGCTCCCAGAACCCTCTTCCTTGAACCTTGAGCTGGGCCGCAGTTATTCCCTGCCCAGGGCTCGTCTCCCCTTTCCTGATGGATCATGTCCTGGAAAAGGGGCTGTGTGGCAAGGAAAGCTGCGATCCGACCGTGATTAAAGCTGCCCTCTGGGGAGAAGCTCTCCCAAGTGCCCTGGGTTTTGCGTTCATTAGCTGGTTGAATCTTCACAAACCTGCACCAGCTGACAGAGGAGGAGACTGAGGCTCAAAGCAGTGAAGCAACTTGTTCCAGGTCGCACGGAAGGAACTGAGCACAGAGCCAGGCCTGGCGGGCTCTTTCAAGCTACCATCCTTCAAGGCCAGAAGTGACAGTAGAGAGCGCCCTGGGTCCCTGCAGGGAGGAGGCAACATGGAAGGGAGGTGCATGTACTTCACACCTTCTGGGCACGTACTTCACACGTACGTGTGTGACGGTCACGAGCACGTACTTCACACCTTCTGGGCTGCTACTGGGGCAGGTGGCAAGGTGAGTCTTGGGCTTGGGTTTGCCCTGTAGCCTCTCCCTACTTCCTCCCCAGGGGCAGCAGGACCCCTTCAGGACCCCGGAGTTCATGGGTTGGGTCCACCTCAAGCTTTGGGGCAGATCTGAGAACTCGTGATAGACTGGTTCAGGGCGTCAAGCTCTGGCTCGGGTGCAGCAGGGAGAAGGAAAACCAGGTCAATATTTGCTGATTTCCAGGCCCACCCATGTCTCCGGCCAGGCACATCCTGTCAGGCAGTGTGGGCTGACATCTAGATAACCCACCTCCTACCCATCCCCACCCAGGTCTGCTTTCTCCAACGTTCCAGGCCTCGTTCCCTTTGTCCTGCTGGCCGAGGTGGGGCTGGGTCTCTGAGAGGCTGCTGTCACAAGGAACATTCCAGATGCCATTGGTCTCCTACAGCTCCAGGACTGATGCGGGAAGTTGGGTGCGACGCACGAAGAAGACCAGATTGAGGGTTCGGGGCCCACCAACCTGTCACAGATACTGCCTGGGCCCGAGGGTGAGATGAGAAGGCAGGCTTCAGCCCCTTCAGACAAAGCCTGTGCATGAGGCAGGGAAGCCTGTCCCACAGGGCTCCGCTGGGCGGCCCCCAGCAACCAGCAGGGACAGAAGCCGCAGGAAGGGTGTCGTGGAAGAGGAGGGAGTCTCCATTACCTCACAGAGTGCCAGTGACCATCTGGCAGTACCAAGGCTGAGCAGGGAGAGGCCGTGGCCCTGCCCAGCCCCTGCCTAAGCACACCAGGCCTGTGTGACAGCATCACAGCACATGGGTCAAGGCTGAGGGGACTCCAAGGTGACCCTGGACCCAACGAGAGTAACATCAGAAACACAGTATGGCCTGAAACTCCAGGGACAGCCCACATTACCACCTCAGTCTGGTCTTCAGACTGGCACCCTCCCAGGCAGCAGCCTGTTAACACAAGCTGGGCCCAGGTCCGGCCACCTGGTGACCTTCCAGGGGGGCTTCTCACACTTCCCAGACCCAAACTTGCACTGAACCTTCATCTCTACTAATAACCATCATACTTTCTGAGTAATCACCTACTTGCTCTATCCTCAGGTCTTTTTGGTTTCCCTTTTATCTTTCTTCTATTGTACTGAGACGTAGCTAATGTGCAGAGAAGTACACAGAACGTATCTGATCACCACCACACAGGTCAAAAAGTGGAAACTGCCACTCCCGGCCCCAAGTGCTCCCAGGCATTACACCCGCCTCCCTCCCCCAAAGGCAATCACTCCCAACTTCTTTTTCTTTACCATCGACTTTTGCAATAAGCATTTTTTTTTCCCTCTAGTTTTACCACCCACGGAGATCCCTACATAGGGATCCAGCTGGGGGCCCTTATATACAAAGCTGCTGTGAACAGTCGCTCAAGTGCTGGTGCAGCTGTGCGTGTCCTCAGTCACAACCCTGGGAGCGGAATTGCTGGCTCACAGGGTGGGTCTTCAGTTTTACTGGCAAACACCCTTTTCCCTAACTGTTCATACCAATTTACGCTCCCACCAGCTGGGTATCTGATCCTGTTGCTCCACTTCCTCATCGGCACTTGGTATCGTCCGACTTACAACTATACGTGAGCGTATAATGGCATCGTGTTTGCATTTCTGACTACGAATGTGATTGAACACCTTCTAACAGGCTTATTCACCACTTGGGGATTCCTCTGTGGCTGCCTTCCACGTCTTTTACCCATTATCCTGTTGTGTTGTCTGCTTTTTCTTGACTGCAGCTCTGAACTTGCTCTAGAGAGTCCTTTGTTGTCGATGTGTGTTGCAAATATTTCCAACCATGGGTTAGGCTCCTCACTCGCTTTATGGTATCTTTAGATGACGGAAGTTTCTATAATGGAGTTGAACTTATCAACTTTTTCTTAATCTTTCCCTACCCTGAGATCATGAAAATCTTCTCATATTATCGCAATGTTTGTATTTATTATCTGTCATTTCTCTCCTCACCACACTGTAAACCCTCTGAGGATAAACAAAGCTGCTGTGAACATTCGCTGAGGTGCCAGTGCAGGTGTGCCGGTGTCCTGAACAATTCCAGCACTGCATCTGATCCTTACAGCATCACTTTCCAGGAGGGGAAACTGAGTCTCAGAGAGGCCAAGCGCCATGACCAAGGAACACAGGGCTCTCAGGTTTCCATATTATGTTTTGAGGACCAGTCTTCCTCACCCGTAGAAGAGGAAACAGTCACTTGTTACTGTGAAAGAAACAAGTGTTTGCAAAGATCTTAGCTCTGGACCTAGTTCATACCAAATCTTCAACGAAATAAAGATGAAAATATACCAGATAAAAGTGTATCTCACTCAACCCCCTACCCCAGTTGTGATGCTCACATTCTTTCTGCCTCCCTAAGAGAACAGGGCAGACTGCAAGAGCCCTGCCCACTCCTCCCAGAGGCCAGGAGAGCACAGGACAGTTGGCAGGTAAACCTTCACCCACATCCCAGCCACCCTTTTCCTAGTAGCTCTGACTGCCACTGACTTTTCCACCAGGTGCTACCTAGCCCAGCTGTTGACCACATTGACATCTGGAACCCAGGAAGGGATCAACCCACACTCTCTCCCACATTACTAAAGGACTGAGACACGCCAAGCCACCTGCCCAAGGCCCGTGTGGCCAGGATGGCTGCCCTCCAGAGTGGGAAGGAAGCTGCCAGTTTCGATCTGCACTGATAAGGAGGGCAGCAAACCTGGTCACTCCCGGAGGAATAGGCCACTCCCAGCCCGCCTGCTTCTCATATACAAAGCCCAGTCATGAAGGCCACTGACTTTATTGATTTAAAAAACTTTACAAGGACAGTGACTGTTTTGCCAGAAAGAGGGCCAAATGGCATAAAACAGACCAGAGGTGGGAGCAGGGGGGCGGGGACAGGGCCAGGAATCACTCAGAAAAGCTGGTAACTGCTGTCACGAAACTGGCAGGGAAAGGAAAAGGGGGATGCATGCAAGGATAAGAATTCCAAAAAAGTTGAAATGGTGAGGGGAGAGAACTCCCAAAAGACCCTGGAGTCCATGGGACGTGCGCACAACAACAGCAATCTTTTCCTTTGTAGAGGACGGGGGAGGAGTCCTCACTTGGCTGCAAACTCTGGAGACTCAGTGCTGGGGCTCGGGGTCGGGGGCTCCCCAGAGAGCATCACAAGAACGCGTCGCACCACTCTCGAAGGCACCCGAAGCAGTCCCGGGACTGCTTGGCGTTCGCACCGCACGTGTCCTTCAGCCATTCCCGGAAAAGATCTTCATCTTTCTTTAGCACCAGAAACTGACCAAGGACCACATAGGCCTGCAAGATGGGCAAAGCAAAAGGCGGGCTGCTGAGCGCTCTGTAGGACTAAGACAAGAAGGCCACTTCCATGCCGCTCCCAGCACAGGAGCCCAGGAGACGGGGCAGGCTCCAGCCTGCGGGCTCTGCAGATCTCACACCACCGCCCATCCCCAACAGGTACACGCACTCTCCTCACTCCCCAGTTGCGGGGAAGCACTGTAGTCGGCCACCCCCAGCCCTCCCCGGCTGCACGCAGCCGCCCCACACCTTGTCAAAGCCCCTTTCCTCCAGCTTCTTGCCCAGGACTTCGCCAATGCCGGCCAGGCTTCCCACTGGCTTTTCCCCCATGGGCTCTGCCACGAAGTCTCGGTGCTTTTGGGAGGTTGTCATCTTGATCAGGCTTAATCTGGGAATCCTAAGAAAAGGGAAGTTACGGCTAAAAACCCGGGAACTCTCGAAGGCCCACTGGCAATCTCACAGTAAGAGACAGCTGGAGCATCCGTTAGGAAGGCTTTCTCGATTTCCCCCAGTTTACGGATGAGAAAACAGAATCAAGAAAAGTCTTTTCCTCACTGTTCAAGAGAAAGGTCTCTGCCACTCCCTGCGGGAGCTGCGTTTTGGTACCGCCCCACAGAAGAAACTATCCTGCCCTAACAGGTGGCGCACGCAGAACAAAGAGCGTCGCTCAGTACCCAGGACCCATCCTAAAGCTGTCACTGCTGTGACCTTGGCTGGGCAAAGGCGGCACTGACCCAGAATGGAACGACCACCTGGTCCGAAAAGCAAATGAAGGGCTCTCCCACCCGCCCCACTGGCTGTTCACAGAGCGAAGGCGCAGCGGGAGCGCACACACCCGCTCAGCCAGCCCCTCAAGCTCCACGCCACCAGCCCCCTCCGCGTCCCACGCCGCCGGGCCCGCCCCAAACGCGCCGCGCCCCGCCCCCTCCCCGTGCCGCGGCCGAGCCCTCCCACAGGGCACGTCTGAAAGCGCATCCTCTGGCCTGTCGCAGCACTTGCGGCCCCTCCTCTCTCCCTCCTCCCTGCGCGTCCTCCGACCTCCAGCCCGGGCCTTGCTCCGCGGCTCGCACTCACCCACAGCTCCGGTTTCGTAACGGGTTCTCCCGCCACCCGGCTGCTCCCGCCGATCCCTCAACCCACTAGAAGTTTCTTCCACTTCCGCTTCCGGGTCGCTTCAAGGGCCGCCTTAAAAAAATAAATCTACATTGGGCACTTCTAGCCGCTTAGAATCACCGAGTTGAGGCACCCCCGGACCTCGAGGGCGCCCTTAGTAGGCGCTCCTTTCCGGTTCCTTCGCGGGAGGCCGGGCTGCCTTCTGTGGTCTCGCTTCTCGGGAAGCATTTCCGGTCTCAGGGAGCAGAGGTCTGTGACAAGAAAACTTTATTTCTCTGCTGCACGGCATCCGGAACCTAAAGGACTTACCCTTGGCCGACCTGATGGTGGGAAGAGTTAGAGGGACGGACAAGGAGAGAGGCGTGGCCGGGAGACTTCCGGGAGAGCGCCGGAAGTACGGTGTGCGACTCAGGCTGACACGCGCCGTTCTCCTCGCCGTCGGGCTTGCGAAAGTCTGACGGGAACCGGAGGCGTAGGAGACCCGAGTCCAAGACGACTCCACTGTCGTGACCGCCGACAAGTCCTTTTTCTGGGCTTTCATTGGCTCAGCTGCGAAGTGAGTCGTGGACGAGTCGATCTCAGCGTCCAGCCTGGAGAGCGGGGTCTTTTCAGGCAGCGCCCGTGGGATTCGAGGGCCAGAGAGTAAGTATGGGGCTTTCTCTCTGAGCGTTTTTCCTCCGTAATAGGGAGGCAGGAGGGCAGGGGGCGGCAGCTAGGGATGACACGTCGGAGTTTCCTTTGGAAGCCATCAGTCTCCTGAGTACGCATTAGTCCTTGTTTTTTCAGTACCCAAGTCAGAAACAGTAGATGTCGAAGACCAAGCCAGCCTACCCTGACCTTTAATTAACTCGTTCCTGACTTGGATTCTCCTAACTTGTCTGTGTCTGTACTGTGTTGAGAGATTGAGCATCTGTGTTGTGTGGTTGTGCTGCACCTGGGATGTACAAGCATGTTGAGGAAGAAATGGTTTATCTTACTCCTTCCCCAAGTGGTTGCCAGAATGATTGATTTTTCTAGAACACGTATTTAGTTTTTGTGGTTATGTCAGTACTTAAGAATAATAGGAGTTTTTTTACGTGCCTCACACTGTGCTAAGTGTTTTGCTTACGATTATTTTGTTTTAATAACCGTGTTCTGAGTTAGCTACTGCTTTTCTCTGAGGTCTAGAGAAATTGAACAGCCAGGAAATAACCAAGGTAGGGTTTGAATCCAAGCAATTGGATTTCAGAGCTCATGTTCTTAACCAGGACACTGTGTCACTCCTCAGTAAAAGGCCTCTCCCCATGTTCAAAACAGTCGTGCACTCTGAGCCTGCCATCCAAGAAAGTCAGGAGGAGGAGTTGATAGTCTCTGCATCCCTCACCGTTCTGGGACAGGACCCAACATGTCTCAGGCCACCAAGAGGAAGCATGTGGTGAAGGAGTTGCTGGGGGAGCACATGGTGCCCTCCGACCAGCAGCAGATCGTGAGGGTAAGTGACATTGGGGACCAGCTGCTCTGCCCCCGCTCCTCCACTCCTGTTGGGCCCCTGGGGTGGGGGCAAGGTGCACCACAGCTCAGTGGGTGTTGGAACCGGCTGATGAGGCTGACTGGTAATTGGTCTCTCCTGGACCAGGTACTCAGGACCCCAGGGAACAATTTGCATGAGGTGGAGACAGCCGAGGGGCAGCGCTTCCTGGTGAGCATGCCCTCCAAATACCGCAAGAACATCTGGATTAAGAGAGGTGAGAGAGGCAGCCCTTTTGGAGACAGAACCGTTTCCTATGGCCTCAGCTTCCACCACTGCAAGCAGGACTGACTGTGCTTTTTCTCCTCTCTACCTGCAGGGGACTTTCTCATTGTTGACCCTATTGAAGAGGGAGAGAAGGTGAAGGCCGAGATCTCCTTTGTGCTCTGCAAAGACCACGTGCGCTCTTTGCAGAAGGAGGGGCTCTGGTAGGATGGTCCCCTTGGTCACTGGCTGCCCTACTTCTCTGGAGGATTTACTTCCTAGTTGTGGATTTAGGGGAGGGAAGATCATGGCATCTCAGGCAGGAACAGCTGGAAACAGCTTTTTTGCTGAGGAGTTTCTCTGTCCTTTCTGACTTCGGCTCTTCTCTTGGCACAGGCCTGAGGCCTTCTCCGAAGTGGCTGAGAAACACAACAACCAGAACAGGTGAGGCACAAGTCCTGGGGTAGGGAAGACAGAAAATGGGGCTTCAGGCCTTGGTACCTTGAGGGGAAATAGAACCTTCCTTCATTCCTACATAGGGTCCCTGGTGAGAGCTTCTAAATTTGTGGTTGAAAGTATGATTTAAAAGTCAGATCCCCTGGGTTAAAGTTTCGGCCTTGTGAGTTATAACTGAGTGACCTTAAGCAGGTTAACCTATAAAATGGGAACTTTGTAAGGGTTAAAGAGAATAACGCTTGTAAAATTGCTGAGCATAGTACCTGGTGAGCAGTGTGGGTTTATTGAGTGTTGGTTGTAGTAGAATCATTATTATTAAAGTCAGTAGCTCTAGCAAATTTTTTTTTTTTCTAGCAAATTTTTGAGGTGGGGGTGAGGAGGAGGTAGTTTCTTGCCGCTTTTTCTTGGCCAAGTTTCCTGCGATTCTCTCTGTGTCTGACTCGCTGAGCCCTGACTGCTTGGCCATATGGTCCTCCTTTTTGTGGGGCTTCTTGGTTTTCCCAGAAGGCCTTGGGCTAATTGTCCTTTCCCCCCACCCCGATGCAGACAGGCTCAGCCAGAACTCCCAGCTGAGCCACAGTCATCGGGAGAAGAGTCCAGCTCTGAAGGTGATGCTGACCTTTTTGTTAACACCAACCGCAGACAGTGTCATGAGAGTGAGGAGGAGAGTGAAGAAGAGGAGACAGCCTGAGACCCCGGGACCCTCTTCTCCTCCTGCTCAGGGAATAGTCCTTGGCTGCTCTGAGCTTGGACATGCCCAGGAGCCTCTGTGGATCTTTCCCCCTGGATGGGGACAAGGCAGGGCCCTTCTCTGAACTGACTTTCTGACGTAGGAGAATTAAACCCCTGGTGGGTGGTGACTTACGCTGGTGTCGGAGTGGCTCTTTGGAGGAAGGAGGGACATGTGGTAAAGTTAAAAACTGCTCCTAGGTGGTGTCCTCATGGGCAGGTGGGCTGAATGGGTAGGAAATGGGAAATGGCTGGAATCTTTCCTAGTTTCTCCCTCTCTCATCGGGCACTTAGTAAGTGCCAGGCCCTGTGTGCTTCCTTGCATGTACTTAGTAAGTGGGAGCATTTCCACCTCATTGCCTGCTTGCAGTTAGTACTGGTTCAGGCATTCAGGATCACAGTGGGGCTTAGTGCCCATCTGCCTTTACGAGACCCTCAGGATGAATTTCACAGTGCCTCGTAAGCTGTTCTCCCTGCCTTTCTAGTGACTTGTGACTGCAGGAGCGCCCACCTCCATGCTGCTGTGTACATCCCCTGGTTGATGGCCTCCTCATGGCTACTCAGACCATCACTCCTCAGCCCTCGTGCAAACCACATCATCCCATTTCTCCTTGGAAGCTTTTTACCTCTGACTGTACATTCTCCCTCTTCATTGCTGGCATTCACCTTTTAGTCACTGCTCAGACGTTGAAGTTTACCTCCTGGCTTAGAGTCTTCTACTCTTGCTTCCATCATTGTTTTTCTACATCCCATGGATGGGCCTGTTCAACACTATGGCCACCTAGGTCCTTGATGTCCCCATCACTAATGCCCTTGTCTTCTATTTCAGGCCTGTTGCCTATATCTGTAGTCACTCTCTGGACCCCTGACGTCACTAGAAATTGCAACGCCATTTGAATTCAAAAACCTGTACAATCACCACCTCCAGGCCTCCTTGCTCAACTACCACCCCTCCCGCCTCCCATAGAAATTCTTTATCTTCATCTTCCAGCCCTGCCACATTCTCACCATCATTCTCCTATCTTCACTTCCTTCCCTGTGCAGCATCAATTCTGTGGTCTACACCCTGTACTCCCTTTCTTCCTCCATCGTGTTCATCTAGTAAAACCTAACCTTGGGTCAACCCAGTCATTCACCTCTGTGCCTGTACGCAAGTAACTGTTAGAGAAAATAGCCAACCTGGTTCATTAGTTTTACCTTAAATTCGTAATTACAAACCTCAGATGGCCACGCAGCACTGCCTGGCAGATCTACCCTGGGATGTCGTATTAGAAAACTTTTTTTTTTTTTTTACCAAATCCCTCTTAGCCTGATAGTTACAGACTGCAGCTCATTCTTCATTAAGAAATAGTAACCATTGGAGGGAACTTTTACCTCTCTGTTACCAACCCTACAACTGTGCTCATGGATCTTCCTGTCATTTTACTGCCCATTGTAATCCAGTGGGACTTAAGCCTTTCCTCTCGTGCTTTGGAGCCTGTCCCTCTTTACTTAAGGAGTTTTTGTGAGTTTTGGTTTTTGTCATCCTGTGTACTGGGTATGTTAGCATCAAAGGTGCTATACAATCTCCCATCTGAAAAACAACCAGAAAAAAAACCTGTCACTGATCCCACATCCTCTCCAGCTACCACTTCATTTACCTGCTCCTCATTCACTCTTTTACGCTTGCTTAGTGTAGTCTTAAATACGTATATACACGTGTGTGTATGCTTACATGTGTATATACGCACATATAGAAATGTGTGTATATACATTCGTGAGCAAAAAAATTAACCAGGTAAGTTGAAGATGTGAGTGTATTTTTAACTCATCTGAAGTTTATTTTTGTATGGAAGATGGCTAATTTTTTTCCCTAAAGGGCTAGCCACTTGTCCCTATACCATTTATTGAGTGGTTCATTCTTTGCTCACTGGTTCAAAATACCTTTTTTAAAATAAATGAAATTCCTGCATATATATGGATCTCTTTGGAATCTGGCACACTGATTGTGTGTGCACATGCCATATTTTATAGCATGATTGATAACTCATTCTCCCTCACCCTTGCCCCATCGTTCCTTGGAATTTTCCTGTTTTCTTTTACATAAAAACTTTAGGATGAACTGGTCATTGCATTTAAAAGTTCTGTTGCAATTTCCATTGGCGTGGTTTTAAATCTCATAGTTTGATTTGGAGAGGAGTGGTACTTAACGGTTGTTTTTGATCTTCCTATACAGAAATTAGTTATGTGTGTTCTTTTATAAGATGTTATCTTCTGGGAATTCCCTGGTGGTCCAGTGGTTAGGACTCCACACTCCCACTGCAGGGGGCACTGGTTTGATCCCTGGTTGGGGAACTAAGATCCTGCAAGCCATGCGGCCAAAAAAAAAAAAATGTTGTCTTCATATGGGTCTAGTTCAATGTAGTCTTAAGAATTTTAGAGCTATTTGTTGTTATCAATGTGTTCTTTTGAAATTACATTTCCAACTATCACTGGCAGGTAGGAAAGCTGTCCATCACTGTGTGCCCACCTATTTATCTAACTGAATTCTCATTAGTTCTAAGAGTTCTTCAGTTGATTCTCTTGGCTTTCTGGATAGAGTGTCAAATCATTCTACCAGCGGCAGTTTCATCCTGTCCTTTACACTCATTTCTTTTCCTTGTGAATTGTGGAGGCCAGGACTTCCAGTATAATGTTGAATGGCACCCTTGTTTGTTCCTCTCTTAGTGAGAATTGTTCTCATGTTTCATCATGAAATATTATTCTTGCTTTGAGTTTCTGGTTGATAAACTTCATTAGGCTGAAGATGTTTCCTTCTGTACCCAACTTACTGAGTGTTTTTTTCCTGTATTCAACAGTGATGAATTTTGACATTTATGAGATAGTCAAAAGATTTTTTTTATTATTGCACTGATTTACATGATTAGGTTTCCTGGTGTTGAACTATTCTTGAATTCTGATGTAAACTCTGCTTAGTTTTATATTTATTTATTTAGGATTTTTGTGTCTATCCTTGGGCCAATTTCATTTTTTATTTTAATGATTTCTGTGTCCCATATTGACAACAGCATTATGCTAGCCTTGTAGAATGGGTTTGGAGACATTTAATCTTTTTCTTTGGACTGGAGTAATTTATAGAAAAGGAGTTGTTTTGGGACTTCCCTTGTGGCACAGTGGTTAAGAATCCTCCTGCCAGTGCAGGGGACACAGGTTCAATCCCTGGCCCAGGAAGATCCCACATGCCGCGGAGCAGCTAAGCCCATGCGCCACAGCTACTGAGCCTGCGCTCTAGAGCCTGCGAGCCGCAATTACTGAGCCCTCGTGTCACAGCTACTGAAGACCGTGGGCCTAGAGCCCGTGCTTCGCAACAAGAGAAGCCCCTGCGACGAGAAGCGTGCATACTGCAACGAAGAGTAGCCCCGCCTCGCCACAACTAGAGAAAGCCTGTGTGCAAGAATGAAGACCAAATCTAGCCAAAAATAAATTTATTAAAAAATATATTTTTTTTTAAAGAAAAGGAGTTGTTTCTTCAGGGTTTGATTGAATTTTAATTATAAAATCTATGCTTGATTCCTTTTTTAAGGGTAGATCTTTGCCTTGTAATTTTTCTGTGGCATTTTATTCAAGTTTTCTATTCTTGAGTCAGTTTTGATAATGTATATATTTTTAGAATTGTGTGTTTTTTGTATATTTAAGCCTTTTTTTGCAAAACATCATGCGTACTATTTGTATCATTTGGGACTGTCTTACTTAAAAGTGACAAAAGTCTAATTCAAACCAGCAGAAGCAAACAAGAGCTCATTGTTCTGCAGTCTCAGGGCAGAGCTTTAGGCAGAGCTGACCTAGGCCAGCATAATTTCGTCAGGGCTCTCATTTATTTCTTGGATTGTCTCTGCTCCTCTTGGTTCAGCAATCTCTTTCTCCCTATAGGTTTTTTCTTCAGGAAGCTCCAGTTTGCACTTGGTCCTGACAGACAAAGAGTTACTTCTTCAGGATCCATGAACTTCAGGGAAGACCAACTGGTCTTGCTCTGGTCACTTGCCCTCTCCTGGCAACCACTCTGGCCACGGCTGAGTAGGGGGAATAAGGGGAGGCGAGATGAACCTCCCTGATCCATATGACACGCGTTTCCCAGGGAATAGAGAGGTTCTTTTACCCAGAAAGGGGGCAAGGGGTGAGAGCAGATAAAACAACAAACATTTGTGGCTTTTGTTTTGGGGAGGGTTTTTTTTTGGCCATACTGTGCAGCTTGTGAGATATTAGTTCCCCAACCAGGGATTGAACCCCAGGGCAGTGAGAGCACCCCGGAGTCCTAACCACTGGACTGCCAGGGAATTCCCAAAACAACAAACGTTGTCCTGAATTCTGTGTATTTTGTTTTCTTTGACTAGCTTTGCAAGATACCTGTCTACTTTATTAGCCTTTTCCTTCTGTTTCTTTGGGGTTATGTGCTCATTCTGACTTTTTGGGTTGTATGCTTAGTTAATTAATTTCAGACTTGTTTTCGAGTACATTTAGGGCTAAGAATCTTCTTTTAAGTACTCCTTTGTTTCCTGCTTTTTTTTTTGGCCGAGCCGCATCGCTTGTGGGAATCTCATTTCTCCGACGAGGGATTGAACCCAGGCCACGGCAGTGAAAGCACTGAGTCCTAACCACTGGACCAGCAGGGAATTCCCTGTTTCCCATTTTATCGGGTGTACTTGTGTGATTTGGGGGGGCATTGTATCTAAGCATGGCCTTCTGTTTTTCTCCAGCCCTCAGTGATTCTGTGATCTACCTAATAACCTCTTTTTTCTTCCTAAAACCTTTTAATCTCGACTTCCTCTCTTATCAGCCATTCAACTCCTGGGGGTCATACCTAGGAATTCTGATGGAGGTAGAGTCCTTGTATTCTGTATACTGTTCCCCTTTGTCATTCTCCAAAGTTGAATTCCACCTCTATTCTCCCAACTTAGTAGGGAGTCCAACCATATATGAATAGATGTCCCCGAATGAGCTGGCTTTTAGGAGCCCTCCTTCCCCAATGCCAATGCCAGTCCATGTGATCTGTTGCCTAATAGTACTGACCCCTGCTGCAGTTAGGTTTAAGACTTGTAGCCCGCCAGACTCCACACGTCTATCACTTTACGACCAACCTTTACAGCCAGGTCATGTCCATCGGAGCACCCCCCATGCAGCCCAGCTCGCTTTCCTCCCTTGTCATCCAGCCACACGTACGTGTGTGCCAAGGAGCACCCATGGCACTCTGAGCTAGCCGCATGGTTTTCCTCTTGTAATATGTAAACGTGGTGAGATATCTTGACACAGTTTCTCATGTTAAGACATCCTTGCATTCCTGGAATAAAATAGCCATGATACATTTTTCAGTGTATTGCTGGATTTGGTTTTCTGATGTTTGGGAGGATTTTGGCATCCAGGTTCATAAGTGAGATGGTTTAAGCTTTTCCTTTCCTGTGTTGCCCTTGTCTGGGTGGTTTTGTTTTGTTTTGTCAAGGTTATGCCAACCTCGTAAAGTGAATTGGAGAATGTTCTCTCTCATTATTAGTGTAAGATTGGGATTTTACACTTCTAAAATTTTTGGTAAAACCGCCTGTGCCTGGCATTTTCGCGGTAGGTT